GCTGCTGAAGAGGGGAACAAACATCATACATATCTCCCGCCAACCATTTTTTCTCCCGTTCTTGGAAGTTCAAAGTCACATGTGTTTCGCTGCATGGGATGATGCTACATGGCGGGGAACAGTTGTTAACGGGTTGATGGAAGGGGGGGGGGGGGTGATGGAAGGGGGGGGGGTGGAGGGGCGAGGGGAAACACTTCCCCCTGACCCACACAGAGAGCAATGAGCAGCATCATTGCTGGTACAAGTGTGTTAGCAGTTTAACAAGTTGCGCTTCGTGGTAGCGGCGACTACTTCAGTACAGCACCTGGGTTCTCGGTCTGGCAGCGAGCGACACAAGGTAGGAGGAATGGACACCCCTGGCCCCGGGCTGTGATAACAGCTTTTGATAGATAGCGACGGAGAGCATCGGTTGGACACCCCTCCAGCACCAACCAGTAAACGCGTTATTACCATCACGACCGCTCTCCTCTGCACTCCGCCCTCAAAGAATCCTGAGGACGGACGTTCAGAGTCGGAGTAGCCTAGCCGGCTCACTGTGACTGGACTGACTTCAAGTGAGTTGTGTGACTTGTGAAAGTGTTGCTGCTAGTCGTAACTGCATCGCTCAGTCACGAATTAAAATCAAACGGCCCTTGTGTAACGAATATTTGCACTGGACATTAAAATTATCGCGGGAGTTACGAACCCCACTTGTGGGAAGCCTATCTCAGATCCTTACTCACGTGATCACGCGCGCTTAAATCAGCGGCAATTTTGAGTTATATAACGCGACAGAGTCGGGATACTGAACAAATTTCATCACGTATTTCTGGATCAAATGCTAACTGTAGCTTCAAGAAACGTAGAGTAGCGTAGTGTAAGCGCTGTCTCCCTCAGAGTCACACAAATAGCGAGTGAACGCGGCACCACAGTTTCCAAGGCCCCCCCTCGCCCCTCACAAACTTGCAAGCGCATTCATTTCCGGCCCCCACAAGACAGACAGACGTAGCAATATTCTTCTTGTGCGCCCGAATTCTCTGACAGCAGCGTGCTATGGCGCTGGGGAAGCAGATTACAAACGCAGGCAGACGCACGCCAGGGTGCGACGACTGAAAACGTCTCATAGTCCCTTGTTGCGTGGCGTGGCTCAATACAGTTGGCAAT